GGTAATCCTGAAGTTAACAAGTTTTATATTCTAAGAAGAGTCATGACAATAGTCATCACGTGATGTTAGTTGCATTTTAAAATTATTATTGCTGTAGTGAAAAAAGAATCTGTCATATTAATTATAACACCGTATTACTGTATTACTGTATTACTGTATAACTGTATTAGAAAAAAAGGGAATATACTGTAAACAAATTAATCGCGTGTTTTTAAGAGTTAAAAAGTAAGAATAGCGTGATTTAATAATTCATCTTACTTAAACTTACTTAAGCTTACTTATGTACAGTAACTTTTTGGTACTGTAATAATATAATATAACGATTTCCTTAATTTAATTACACAGTAGCTTTCTGATACTGTAATAATATGACGATTTCATTAATTTAATCTGACATAAATTTTTCAGGGGAGATAATTCTAAGGAGATACGTAATTAATAAAAATAAAATTACATAAAAAAAACAAACTTGAAATTATTTATGAACCTGCAGTTTTTGAAAATAAACTCTTTTAAAGTATTACATATCTAGATTATCAAAGAAATTCGGATTAATTATATTATCCAATTATCCAATAAGAAGATTATTAATATTAATTAGAAAGATAGGGATTTTTTTTATTAATATATCAATGCTTATCAATGACATTGAAATTTTACTAACCTTTAGTAACTGCATATAAAGGGCAAACGTGTGCCGTATCTTACAGAATATCGTACAGAATATCGTACAGAATATCGTACAGAATATCTTACAGAATATCGTACAGAATATCGTACAGAATATCTTACAGTATATTAATTACTCCACGAAATACGAATATAAATGCGAATGTGAAGTAAATGCGAAAAAAAAATGAATGATCATTTATATACATGTGGTAATTATTGATTAAAAGAAATTCCCCCGAATGTTAATTGATTGTACCGCTTAAAATCAATTACTCTGTATAGTATTTCATAATTAAATCTCGATCTTTAACAAGTTTTTTAAAAAAAGGTCTTGATATCTAGGAATGTCGGAAAATTCAATGATGGGAGATCTGAAAATGATTATCGTTATGTGTGAAATTTACTAAATATAATAAAAAATATAACGGTGTTACAAATAACAAGTAATAATATTAATTAAAATAAAAAAATACCTAGCTTTATTAAAGTTAATAAAAATTTTTTTTTTTTCATATGAAATTGTGATCGTTTTATTCTAACCTAACGTTAACGTTAATTAACCTAACGTTAACGTTAATCGTTAATCTTTTTAATCTTTTTAGAACGTTTCATTGTCTCCCATTGTTCTTTAACATGAAACGCAGAAAATCGATGCATAGATTTTTTTTTTCGTGATATTGTATTTAATATATCACTCACACCTCACAGTACCAATATATTAATGAATTCAATTTGCATAATCTTTATTAAGTGTTTGATCCACAAAATTTTGCTGATTTGTTTTCAAGGATTTTCATAACACCGGATTAACAATTCATTTGACTTATTTATAACGTTTAAGGTCCTCATATATAGTAATTTTTCATATTTTTTCACTATAGCACTACGTATTATACTACTATACTGTTTCATGATTATCCTACGTATCAGCTATTTTTTTACATACGAATATACAGACAGAATACAGGTATAGACGCATATACAGTTGAGTAATATTTTTTTTTAGATATAGGATAAATTAAGCAAGGTTAGAAACTTATTTCCAGTATTTGAAACGCAAGTAATGAATGATACATTAATATTTACTAATTACCTCATTAATACAGTGTGTCAGAGAAGAACGTGTTTTCTTATAATAATAGTGTGATATAATGTGAATTTTAAAAATAAAAATAAAAATAATAAAAATAATAAAAATAATAAAAATAATAAAAATAAAAAGGTAGATATAGTGTGTGGCTTAATTTAAAGGAAAAGACGTCGTGAGAAAATACCAGATTTGACTAAAAGATTTTAATGACATGTTTCTTTATTAGTTTATTTTTTGTGATAAGTATAAAAAAGATATTTTACGTATTCGATATTTATGTAATAATAACGCTAACTAAATGATTTAAATACAGAAATATAAATAATCAGGGTAAGGGTCAAATGATTAGCATGTGTTGACGCCAATTCATTATAAAAAAAATAAAAGTAGATAGGGGAATTGGCTACAACAGAGAATTATCGAAAAAGAAAAATTTAGTAACAAATTTATGAATTGGAAAAACTTAAATTAGTTATATTACCTACACTTTAGTAGATGTGAAACGCACTAGTGATGAAAGATTTGCATCCATGAACTTCGAAGAAAGATACTAGAATGATAAGAGAATGATACGAAAATGATACGAGAAAAAAACAACCACCAAAAACTGTTAGTATTTATGAAATGAATTTTCTTGATGAAATGAATTAGCTTGAATGAGATAGAAGATTTTCATAACAAGAACCAAAGTCAGATATGTTAACGAATCTTGGTTAAACAGTGATTTCTCGGCGAATACCGATAAAGAAAGTATTGGAAATTTTAGAAAAGATATACGATGATAATTATGATAATTATGATAATTCAGATGTTGTACTAACAAATCTATCCCTCTTAATTATTATAATTATTAATGGTATCACAGTGTCAGCTTTGTGCACAACATTAATGAAGTACGTTAATGAAATACGTACATAGCATTTTAGAAAAAATTTGAATACGTATACTTAGAGAAAGAGAAATAGAGCTCTATGTTTAATAGTTAATATTTGATATATAGTTAATATTTGATAGTTAATGATTAATAATAGTTAATGATTAATAATAGTTAATGATTAATAATAGTTAATGTTTAATAATAGTTAATGTTTAATAGTTAAACAATTATCAGAGATCGGATCAATCGATGCACTAAAAAGCACATATAGTCATATAGTTAATTTGAATAAATATATTTTTTTAGTAAAGTCCAAATTTTAGATTGCAAGAAAATTGATCATTGCATTATTATATTATTCTACTTTTTTAGTAAGTGATAAATAAAGTCTTTTCTTACGTGTTTCGACTATTTCGTCTCATCTCTCGTCAATAATGTCTCGATCAAATCTAATTGAAGATCAAATCTAATTGAAGATCAAATCTAGTTGAAAAGATATTCTAATTGAAAATAATTACCATTATTTTGACCTTTCTTTAAACTACACATATGTACTTTTCGTACTTTTTGTAATGATCATTATTACAGTACTTTTACGGTATTTTACAGTACTTTTACGGTATTTTACAGTATTTTTGGTATTTTACAGTATTTACAGTATTATTCTTGATCAACTCTCAAAGCGCAACCACATTAAAGATTCATTTAGAGAGTATGTGTGTTGAAGGACTTTGTGAAGTCAAAAAAAACACGAAAAAAAGACTTGGTTTATCGCGTCGCGTTAATCTTGCCTTGAGAATTTTGTATACGTTCATGGCCAAATCTGGAATCAGTTCTTTATTCGACGAATATTTTTAGAAACATTTTTAATTGGAAATATTGGAATCAAAAGCAAAGGATTCAATAAATTATTATTGAATAATTATTTAAAGATTCTTTATTATAAAGAATATAAAGAATAAAAATATTCAAATCGCGTAGCCGAATATAAAACTTTGAATCATAGTATCATAGTAAAAAAAAAAAAAAAAAAAAAAAAAAAAATCATACGAGACTCTTTAAACTTATAAATAAATAAATTAATAACAAAAAAAAAGAAAAAAAAAAAAATAATATATTTAAAAGAAAACTCGTCCATGAACATGAACTTGAACTGAATCTGGTATATTGCGTATTAAAAAAAATTACAAATATAAATATATTATACACCGAAACTATTAACTTTATTGACAACGCAAAGTAAATACAGTAGTAATATTTATTCTCATCAGAATCGAATAAATCGAATAAATCGAATAAAGAGAGTTAAACGAAGCAATGATGTATTTTTTTTTAGTATTATTATATACAAAAAAATTTTTTTATGTTAAACTACTATTAGAAATCGTCTTTCGGTAAATTTTTTTTTTTTTTTTGTACCCCATAGTATGTAATTTAATATGATGAGAATCGACTCGCATACTCTCTTCCCCCAATAGTTTTATATTATAATATCTTAAGGTATAGATAGTATAGGGTGTGACGGGTGATGATGATGTGACAATACTAAATAATATATTTAATATAAACAATATAAATTATTAGACTATAAAGGTCAATTTATTTAATAAATCAAATGGTTACATATTTTTTTTTATTTTTTTTTTTTTAAATACCTTACATATATACATATACGTATACACTACACTGTATAAAAAAAAAAAATGGTCGTTTTTTTTAAAAGAGCATTGATACAATAAATATATAGTGTAAAACTTTAAAGTGTCGGTAAATTCTATAAATACCAAGTGAAGAGCCATCCTTCTTCCTTCCGCTCTTCATACCTGGAAGCGAGTCTTACAAAAAATATATCCAGGACTTATTTATAATATAATAATTCTCTTTAATGTTCTTTTTATAAAACGCTATTAGATTAGAACGATTAGATATCACATCGTCATAGGAGAGAGGTATCACGAAAAAAATTTTCGAAACGCCTATATATATATATATATATCTTTAATTTCTCATTCCTGAATATTTTCTTTCAAAGAAACGAAACCATTTTTTTTTCTTCCCATTAATTCTTATAACGGTTTCAAAAAAAAATTTTCTTTCGAAAGTTTCTTTCTTCCCTTTCTTTTCTCTTGTTTCCTCTTGTCTTTACATCCATCTTCAAAGGACAAAAAAAAAACATTTTGTACATATTATTCTCTTCGTAGATGGATGTATAACAATTGTAAACTTTGATTCTTTTCTTAGATTTTTCTTTTTAAAAAACTTTTTCATAAATTCTTTTAATATTATTTCTCTTTAATTATTATTATTCGAATCATTTAATAAAAATAAACAAAAAAAACAACACACATATAAACAATCAATATGACTTCTACATCTGTAAAGTAAGTTTTTACCAAAAATATTTTATTAAATTTTTTTTTTTTTCTAGAATCTTATCGTTAAACTTTTTTCCTTCTTTGTGTATTAGGGTTGCCTTAAGAATTAGACCGTTGAGCGGAAAAGAGACCATCCAAGGCTGCAATGAGTGCCTAACACTTATCCCCGATGCTCCGCAACAAATTCTCATTGGAACTGACCGCTCATTCACCTTTGATTACGTTTTTCCTTCGGATACTGAACAAGAGGAAGTTTTTCAAGATTGTGCAATATCTCTTCTTGATAAATTTATTGAAGGGTAAGCTTCTTTTTTTTTTTCTTTCTTCTTGGATTAAGTTTACGGTTCTACGCATTTCATATTGCCTAATGTTGTACATAAATCCGATTATTGGTTTTACGTCACACGTGTGTCACCATATTACATTTTTTAACACATTCGGCTAAACTACTTATTTTATACTTTAACGCGTCATCTTTCATCAAATCATTTCCTAATCCGTATATCTTATTTTTTTTCGCCTTGTTTATTAGCTATAATGTTACAATCTTAGCCTATGGGTATTTAATTATATTATTATTATTGAAATTTTTTTCAAAAAAACTTTTATTAATAATGTTTCACTTTATAGTCAAACCGGTAGTGGTAAAACTTATAGTATGGGTACAGCCCTTGATGGCTCAAACATTTCAGCTGATCACATAAGTAAGTGTGGTAACAATATTTTTTTTTTAATCAGTATAATATAATCAGTATAATTTCTGATATGTATAATTATGTGCGTTATCATTTATTTATATATACTGTATATGTTTGCTTACGTCACTAAATTAATCAATAGGTGAAGCTGCGGGTATGGTCCCACGTTCGATACATCGTCTGTTTGACGATCTTAACGACAGAAAATCGAAGAATCCTTCCTACCAATTCGAAGTCTTTGTGACTTTTCTTGAATTATATAATGAAGATCTTGTAGATTTATTAAATCATCAAAATCGTGATAATATTAAAAAAGGAAAAAGTGAATTAATGATAAGAGAAGATTCGAACGGCCATATTTATTGGGCTGGTGTTAAAGAAATTCCTGTAAATTCTCCAAAAGAACTCTTAGAGTATGCATCTAATATATATATATATATATATATATTTATTTATTTATTTATTTATTTATTTTATTATAATTATTAATTATTAATAATAATAATTAATATTTTTTTTTTTTAGTCAATTACAACAAGGCTCTTCGTATCGAACTGTTGCATCCACTGATATGAACATGGTATCTTCACGGTCACATGCCATTTTCTCTGTTATCCTAAAACAAACAAGAGTTGAAAATATAGAGGATAATAAAGAAAATAGTATACCTCCCGCTGAAAATTCTTCTAAAAAGAAAAAATCAAAAACTTTAACCTCCAAATTAGTTTCAAAATTTCATTTTGTGGATTTGGCTGGTTCTGAAAGAGTATGTATATTAAAAACTATTATTTATATTAAAATATTATTAATTTTACGCGTTATTCCCTAACGTGAATCTAAATATTCTAATTTTTTCAATTTTTATAGCTAAAAAGAACTAATGCTGTGGGTGATCGTGCAAAAGAAGGCATAGCAATAAACGGGGGTCTTTTGGCCCTAGGAAATGTTATCAGTGCTCTTGGTGATGAATCACGGAAGGCAACTCACGTTCCATATAGAGATTCAAAATTGACAAGATTATTACAGGATTCTCTTGGTGGTAACAGGTAAATTATTTGTTATATATACATTAATTATATATACATTAATTATATATACATTACATTAATTATATAAATTATATAAAAATTTATTTTTTTTATTAATTTTAATAATAATTTTATTTCTATCATATATCATATCATATATTATATATTATATATATAGTCAAACTTTAATGCTTGCATGCGTTTCTCCGGCTGACTCCAACTTTATGGAAACTCTCAATACATTAAAATACGCCAATCGTGCTCGTAACATTAAAAATAAAGTTACTGTTAATGAGAGTTATGGTGGAAATTCCGTAGAAATTAATCAATTACGAAGTCAAATTGCTCAATTAAGGATGGAAATTCAAATTTTACGTTCTAATGGTGCTGATGAAGAATCTTCTCGTAAATATGAAGAAGAAATAAACCATCTTCGTGGTGAATTAGGTCTTACAAAATTGAGACTTCAAACTACTGAACAAGAACTTGTCATGTCAAATACTGAAAAGAACACTTTATTAATGGAAATTGGTTTTAATGATCAAGATCTTACTGATGCTGATCGTTCTCACAAAATGCAAACTCATCATATTATTCAAGCTTATGAACAAAAAATTCTTGATTATAAAAATCAAGTGGCTGATCTTCAAGCTCAAGCTTTTACAAGTCCTCGTAAATCTTCTTTCGCTGGTTCAAATCCTGGTCGTGATAAAGGTCAACATATAAAATTCCTTGATAATTCTTCTGATGATGATGATCAAATTCATGAAAATGAAAAGAAAGTTAGAAAGAAACGTTCAAGAAAACAAAAAACTAGAGCTGAAGGTCATTTTCAAGTTTCTAATGATGGTCCTTCAAATCCTGAATCTTCTTCAACTGCCACAACTTTACATGAATTTCCTAATTCTTTAAAACCTTTAAATTTGGATGAAGCCAAATCTATATTTTCTCATTACGATGATCATTATATTCAAGAGGAAGATGAAAATGATTATGAATCTCATGAGAGACGTAATAGTACTGATGGTGGTGAAAGCGATAATTCTATAAGATCTTCTAGAGGATTAAGAAGACGTAGTGCTAGAGCAATCGAAAAAGCAAAAGAACAAATAAAGCAAGGTTTCTTACTCCTTAAAAATGGTGGTTCCATGCATGATGACCCATTAATGAGTCAACTTGTAAAGACTCCTTCTTCTACAAAGAGTGAAAGTTATATTGATCAAATGATGGCTAATCATGCTAATAATAAAGAAAAAAGAAGATCTAGCAGTGTTTCTTTCAGTGAAATTCAAACCCTTGAAGTTCCACAATGGCAAGAATCTAATCCTCCACCACAAACTTCAACTCGTCGTACTTCAAATTCAAGTCGTTCTGTTAGTTTTTCTGATCAACCAATCTCTCCTGGTTCTACAAAATCTTCTCAAAATAGTTATGGTTTAAATACACAACAAAATGCTCTCACGCTTACTCGTATGTTACATCAAATTCAAGCTGATATTGCCGTCAAAGAACAACTTGTAACTCAACTTGAACGTGCCGAACAAGAATTCACTTATATGAGAGCTGAATATGAACAAAGATTGGCTCATATGCAAGAAACTTTGATTACATTACAACGTGAACGTGATACTGCTCTTAAACGCGCTGCCAACTCTAGTACTGGTGTTAGTACTCGTGACAAGAATTCCATCCTTGCTGAACTTAAAGCTCGTTATGAACATAAGATGAAACGTCTTATTCAAGAGATTGGTGAACTTCGTCGTAAATATAATGAAGCTACTCAATTAAATGCTACTGCAAAGAGTCAAAGTGAAACTGCGCTTAAAAGTATGCGTGGTCAAATTGAACAACTTAAAGCTGAAAAAATGCGTATGATCAAGCATATGAAAGAAAGTAATAATCGTATTCGTGAAATGGCTGAACGTAATCAACGTGAAATTCAAAATTTACGACGTAAAGAAAAAACTGCTCAAGATCAGAAAAAACGTCTTGAAAGAACTAGTGAAATGCAAAAATTAATGTTGGAAAAAAGGCAAAAAGAAGTTTTACAAACTGCTGGAAAACTTAAATCTGTTATGACTCTTCTTAAAAGAACTTCTACTCCAAAATCAATTGCCAAAGCATTTCGTAAAAATCGTAATAAAGTACCTGCCGAATCACCTTCAAGGCGTACTTCCGATGATATAAGTAACATTCATGATGAGGTTTATGGTAGTGGTTTTGAGAAAAAGAAACTTTTAGATGATGCTATTAATAAGTACATTACTAGTCGACAACAATTAACATTAATGGATGAATTATTTGATAAACGTGATAATTTACAAAGAGAGAAAAAAGAACTTCTTGAAGAACGTGCAAAAATTGTATCAAATTCTGTTTATTATGAACCTACTACGGAATCTCAAAATTTAGATGATAGAATTGAGATGATTACTTCAGAAATTTCTTACCTTAGTGCAAGGATTCGTGCTTTACAATCCGAAGCTGCTAGAAATGCTACAGTTGAACAATCGGAAAATGATGTAAATCAACAAGAAATTCATGAAGAACAAGTTGGTGATAATAGTAAAGATTCAGCTCGTAGAAATAGTAATAGTAAATCAGGGAAATCAGAAAAGAAAATTTCATTTTCTTTACCAACTCCTGAAGCATCTTATGATGCGGCTGTTTCAATCTTACGAAATTTAGATTCATTCGAATCTCAAACAGTTCTTGAAACATTTTTCGAAGATATAGTTAAACTTCGTACTGGTGAATGGTCAAAACATATGACATTAGCTCATCAAGAAAAGACAATAATGGATTTAAATAAATCATTATTAGCTATGCGTAGGGCTGCAGTCATGGCTACAGCTGAATACGAAAGAAGAAATAAAGAACTTGAAGAACTATTACGACGTGGTAATCAAAGTGATAATGGTAATAGAGATGGAAGGTCACCAAGTCCAATATCACCAGAAAGTAGAGAATTACATATTGCTGGTATTGAAGATGATGCCACAAATTCACTTTCATGGTTCGATCGTATTTATGAAACCGCTTTAGCACAAGTGGAAGCTGCAATATCCGCAAGAGGTACTCCAACAAATGAACATGGTTCACTTTCAAGAAGAAATTCTTCTTATAATTCTGTCAAAGGTACTCCGATAAATGAAAGTGGTTCACTTTCAAGAAGAAATTCTTACCACAGTAATAGTAATGGTTCACTCTCGAGAAGAAATTCTTCACATAGTAATAGTAATGGATCTTCTTCAAGAAGAAATTCTTACCTTGTTGAAGATGATAAAGTTATTCATGCATCACCAATAGAAGCATCTACCACACCAAATACACCAAACACACCAAACGTACCAATACGTTTGAATACAAGTTTCTCTCGACGTCCATTACCATTAGATTGGTTAAACGCTCAAAAGGGAACAGAAGTTGAGACTGCTACTGAATCAATTGATAATAAGCAAGCTTCTCCAGGAGGCTCTTCAAGAGCAATGAAACGTGATGGAAGCAGTAATAGTAATAATGGTTCAAAGAAGGTTGGATCTGCCGGCCGACGATTAAAAAGACCTGATGGTTCTAATACTCCTAGTGTTAGTGCTCCAAATACACCAAAGGAAGAAAATTTCTCAAATGTTGGTTGGGCGGATGAACGTACATCATCAGAACGAAATAAATCAATTCAACAAGTAAAACAACCATTGTCACGTAGAGGGTCATTCCGTGATACAGCTACACATAGTCGACAAAATAGTTCAAGCATGGGATTCTATTCAGAAACTCATAATCGAGATGGATCGCGGGATAGTGGATACTTTAGCGGTATCGATAAACGAAGATCACAAAGTAGCATGGCTCATCGAGAATCCAAAGATATTCCTACTCATGTACGACAAAGTTCGTATGGACGTAGTTCACCTGAAAGTGATGATAACGTTAGCGTAACTAGTGAACGCGAACGTAGAGCCTCAATTTCACATCATACACATGTGAGATCAGTGACACCTGAGGGTGGTAATGTTTATGATCGATTATCACGAAGTCATACACAATCAAGTTCAGCAAAGAATACACCAACGCGAAGATTAATGCGACACGTAAAACAGAATAGTGGTGGTGTTAATAGCGCATTAGCAGCACTTGAGGGAAGACGTAATGATTATGAAACAACAACAACAACAACTGAATCATTGACTGCAACAGCATCTAATTAATATTTATTTAATGATTTGAACATTTTATTTGATTTGATTTGTAAAAAAAAAAAAAAAAAAAAAGTCATTGTACATATGTACATCTCCTCATACTACACTTTTTGTCAAAACTCCACCTAATATTATTATAGAATTTTGACAAAACTTTTTAAAAAAAAAATGTATATTTTGTCAGAACAACAAAGCAAAGTTTTTTTTTGTAATATATAATAATAGCTTGGTAATTTGATGTTTTTTTCCTAGGCTGCTCTAGTTTTCTTATTCTTTTTACTTAAATCTGTCTTAAATCTGTCTTAAAATCTAGGTTATTTTTATTTCTTTAGAATTTTCACTAGATATTTGTATTTTTTTTCTGCTTCTATAAACTATAATTAATAAAAGAAAAAAACAACTTGTCATTTGCTTCTATCAATGCTATAAATGTTATTATAAATGATATAAACGATATAGACGTTATAGATGCGCGTTATCGCAAATGCACATTATCTACAGTATATGTCTTTTTAACGTGCGTGAACTAGTATGTAATAATAGTACTTTCTTACTGACATGCCCTATTACTTTATATATTTCTTTAATAATAAGCCTTAGCATATCCTTGGCACATCTTAAGATATCTTTAGCATAACTTTAGCGTGTTCTTAACGTGTTTCTAACGTTAGCATATCTTAAAGATATCTTTAGATATCTTTAGCATATGCTCGCCAAGCCACTAAACTTAATTAAGAAATCTAATCAATGAAATCTAGGTATGTGCAAGATCATATTCTATATTAGATCATCTCATAACGGCATGTGCCATTTTTTCAAGGCTGTGTTCACCATTTTTTTATTCTCAAAAACAAAGATTCATTGTAACCATTATTTCTACTTTCATGCGGTGCTGTATAACTTTGATCACTTTTAGAGTTCACCTCCTTGAAAATCTTGAGTAAAATGACCCTAATAAGGCATTGAGCCGAACAATGAAAAATGATTTCACGATGCATTTAATTTAGAAATATATTACGGTATGCAAAGTTACACCATACCATTGATTCATTAGGTCCGGAACAATGAAACTATATCCGGGTTATCTGTTATCTAGCACAATGGCGTGGCAATTTAGTTCTAGTTTTTATTTGTGTACCAGTACCGTTTTTTTTTCGTGAGACTTTCTACTAATTTATAATGATTATAACGAATTATTTATTTTGTTAGACCTACAACACACTGTACGTACTATACATACATACATACCCTTGTTCTTTCCTAACAAGTGAAAAATTATCAACTGTCGGGATGATGAGAAACACGACGCATTTATTTACATAATTCAGCTCCTAAATAAATCAAACAGAAAAAAGAAAAAGGTATCAGCATATGATCTGTAGATACGTACTATATGGCGCATCATTTTAAATATTTTCCTTATTTTTAATTTTTTAATATTTTTAATATATTTTTAATATATTTTTAATATTTTTAATACAGTATTTGTTGTTATTTGTATCCGAAAACTTTGCAACCTCTCCATTTTCAATTAATTATTTGGCATCTCATTTCATTTCATTCTGAAAAACTTTACAACCGTTGTCAATTAATTAATTATTTGGTATTTCATTTAATATTTATTTCATATATATATTAAATTTCATATACACTTCATATTCATTTCATATTTCATATTCCTCGCATTTTTTTTTAAGGTATCACATCTGAGTGATGAGCCCCAAAGTTTGTAGAATCCCTTGTTAGACTTAAAGACCGAATTAAAGAATCAATCATTTATTACACCAAATAATCACTAGTTTAGGCATTGTTACTTGCTTAAAATACTTGAAATTAGGTTTCAATAAGTAATTGCTTGCGCACGGTATTTCCGAAATTTATTACGTTCAAGAAAGTTGTTTACGCTATTTATTTTCTTGTTTTCCTTATTTTATTAGATCATAAAGGTTAAATTAAATCTATTATAATGCTATATTTGTGATATCCCCTAATTTCCTTTATCATATGCCTTTGTCTTCGACGGCGAAAAAAATTTTTTTTATGCATTTTCATGCTCATATTCTGCGAGATGTAGTGTTCATCCATCAATTTTATATTTTTAACCAATCCTTTACTAGCCGAAATTCCTGTCTAATAGATGTTTGATAAAGAAATTCTTTCGAGAAATAACTTAACTATTCCCTGGTGCTCTGTCAATAAATATGTCGTGATACACGAATTTTTATATAATAATCGAATGTCAATATTCATTTCATAATGTAGTTGTAAGTGGTTAATATTTCTTCCCAGGTGATACCATTTATTTTAGGTTAGCCTTTTTCAGGAAAAAGTCTTTAGAAAAAGAAATAGATAGATAGGTATGTGATGACTTTCGGTACGTACGTACGTACGTACAGTACGTAAAATTTTGGTTTATGCATCATTTTAGTCAAGTGATTCCTTAGGCAAAAACTTACTTATATAGTTTGCAAGTGTACTCCCTTCAAAATCACAATACTTTGGCTCAATTGCTATCCTGTTATACACATTCGCCGCTTAAACCATGTTTGTAATTTGTGATTAACGTTTTAACCTATTCTTTCTATTGTACTGATATTGTAATGATCTGTCAGCCGCCTCCACAATTTTTAGTCGTGCCTTATTTTATGCGAGTTCATTATTAATTATTCGGTCAGCCAAAGATCACTAACTGCTAAATAAAATGATTTTCGTACGTACGTATATACGTATGTTTATTGAGATTAAAATATACTGTACGTATATCTTTTTTTTTTTTTTAGAAAAAAAAAATTTTATACGTATACCAGTCGTGTGATATTTATTTTATCACAAATTATTTTATCTCACTAATATCATCAATACATCAATCACATTCCTCTTTGTCTTAATTTCACGTGCGTACGTACGTGACTCACGTTGATCAAATTTTTAAATACAGTACACTTTTGAAAAAAGTATTAGCATTTTAGTAAATCACTCTTGATAGTTTTTTTTCTCTAAATAACTTGTTATATACTATGGAATTATTCGAGCAAAAATTTTGTAAATTATAGTATAGTATATAATACAGCGTATTAAATGTGTATATGGGTGACAGTTAATAGAAATGAGAAATCTGCATATTGTGCAGATTTCTTATTTCTATTGACCGCTGCCCATATTGTGGTGAGTTAATAAAAATGCGCCAAATTTTTTTCTAAGTAAAATTTTTTTAAAATTTTGAACAAAAATAACTCAACATCCTTTACTTTATACTAACAACAACTTTCTAATAAAAACAACTTACAAATGACTTCCCAATTCACTAAACCAACCTGGATAAATACCAAAATCTATTGGAAGGCTAGGGAACTTCAATAACTTTGTTCTCAACTACAATACTCTGGTACTATTATTTGTGAACCCTCAGGAACAACTATTATCCAGGATAGTAATCATACCTGTTGAATCCCTGCAGTCTTATCTACACTTACTACCCAAATGAGTAGGATGGATATTCTAAAAATAGATCTCCTAAATACAAAACCTTATGAAATTACTCCTATAACAATCTCTATGCTTGTTATAGAGAATTGAATAACCTGGTTTATCCAAACTAGAAAAAATATGAAGCTATTATCAAAAATTAGAAATATCAAATTCTAGCCTATATTTTCTATCTAGAAAATTTAATTCAATGCAAAGAAGAAGCCCAACAAGTAGATGTACTCCCAACTCAGAAAAAAGTTTGGACTCGTGTTTATTTGCTTTTTACCCAAATAGGGTATGAACAAATATATTGTACTAATAAATTAGTACTCAAGAACTTATGTCTCAACTAAATGAAATTGTTAAGTTTTATTGCCAATATTATGGTATTTGATTTTTACAAAGTAAAAATCTTAAGAGAAGAAAAATGGTATAAAGTAGATTTTGTAATAGTGTAAAAGCAGTATAGTATAGATTTATTATTATATTTTATTAGTATATTATTATCTTATTATATTAACTTAATATTGTTTCTTATTTTGTATTATTATATTAGTTATTTATATAATTAGTTGGATTATTATAGTGTTATAGAACATGCTAACATTATAGAATATATTAGAGATTTTATCTCTATTAAATCCAGAAAATTATAATGATCAAAACAAACTACAATACTTGATAAATAACTATTAGTTAGCTAGATAATCAAGAAATAGATTTACTATATATTTTTTAATATTTTTAATATTTCTTAATGTTTCTTAATGTTTTTTAATGTTTCTTAATGTTTTTTAATGTTTCTTAATATTTCTTAATGTTTCTTAATATTTCTTAATATTTTTTAATATTTCTTATTGTTTCTTAATATTTTTTAATATTTTTTAATATTTTTTATTGTTTCTTTTAGTTTCTTATTGTTTTATATTTTTTTGATACACTAGAAAAAAATATCTAGACGCACTAGGTTTAGGTTAAGTTTAGATAAACTTATATATAACATGGGTGTAATATTATACATGATGAGAAAAACAAAAATAGCTTAAATATCACATAGGTATATATATATAATTTCTAAATTTAGAGATTATAAATTACTATATATATAGCTATAAGTGATATAATATGCTGTAATGCAAACAAATTTGTCTATATTCAACTTTTTTAGAGAAATTTACTAATTTCTAAAGTTTAAAATATGATCTAGAAATAATTTAGCTATTATCTCATTTTAATTAAATAAGCACCTTTATCTAAGAAATAATAACAGTAATTTTTCAATTATTGAGATTATTGTGTTATATAAATTAGACTCTATTGTTATTATATTACAGTATTGGAGTTATGATACTGTCACGACTCCAAAGATTATTCTTCACGAACAAACAGCTTAGTGAGCATCTCTGCTATTATATTTTGACCTTTTACTATTAACATTTTTTTTTTTTTATTAATATGTAGACTTCTTATATATTATTAACTATTTTTTTCGTCCTCTACTTATTCACTTTCTTATTAGATACCACCATAAACTTCTAACT